AAAGAAAGAAAAAAACCCCTGCAAATCATGCTTAAGGGGAAGGAATTCCATGACTTGAATTCCTGAAGTGGGAGATCATGGTGGCCACAGATGACCTGCTAGCATCATAAGCGGAACAGCAAAGGTCTCACTGTCCCATTTAGCTAGACAGGCTTAAGGAGGTCTAAACCGGTTTTGGCTGTAGCTTCTCCGTTCTCTGCTGTCCTCTTGTGGACTAGCTGGTAGCTGGCAAGAGCTGGTAGTTGGAAGATGCGGGAGATACGTAAAAGAGCAGGTAATGACAGATAAGCAAGATATAGCCAGTGGCGGAGGAAACGTGTTTGTGGAAACAGAATCAGAGTAGACGAATATAGAACGCCCTTCTGGACCTTGCTGCAGTCCAGAGAAATCCACATTTGTAATCCCGTGGAAAAGTTATTGGAATTCTAATTTAATCCCAATCCTTCCCTTCTAGTGCAACGCATGGCGAGATTAAAGACATTAAGGCATATTTGTAGTTGTAAGGAGCCAAGGAAGTCCTAAATCCAGTCAGAACAATGGCTAACTGGAACAAAGGCCTCAACCCAGGGCCAGACCGGATTTTAATTCTTGAAGGAAGGGAGTGGCTTGGGGATGAGTGACTGTGAGAGCGGCGGGAAGTTCGTGAGTGCTGTGAGCTGGGCTAGGTAGGAGGCCTGAAATCACCTCTGCAGTATGCAGAGAGAGAGAGAGAAATATGCAGAAAGGATAAACTGCGTATCACAGATTGGGGTAGTATGTAATGTTTATGGGTTGGTTGGTGCTTCAGTTTTGACGTGTAGTTTTTCAAGCCCTGAGAAGTCATAGCCTCTTTTCTTTTTATTTATTTATTTATTTATTTTTTGTCCTTTTGAGATAGGGTCTGCTGTTCACTTCAGGTTGGCCTTGAGTTCACTTTGTAGCCCAGGCTGGTCTCAAACTCACAACAATCCTCCTGCCTCAGCCTCCGCGAGTGCTGGGATTACAGGCGTGCGCCACCATGCCTGGCTGTATAGCCACTTTGCTTGAGGCTGACAGCGACAGCTTGGTGACACTCAGCCTAGCTCTCACATATTATTTGGGAACTACAGGCGGAGCTTCACTGACCTGTCACATTGCTTTAAGGACTGCAACGTCAGCACCTCAGCTAGACTCATTTGCATTGCTTAAAGCCAATTGAGAGGATAAAGACAAAACTTAGCCAGCTCTTTACATATCAATACACAGAAATGGGGCCAGCTTTAGCCAAAATGGAGACAATTGCTCTTCTTTGGAGGAGGGTGTTCCAGGTGGTCCTCCACAGAAGAGAAAAGAAAGAAGGCGGGAGAGCCAGGGCTGGTGGCACATGCCTTAATCCCAGCACTCTGGAGGCTGAGGCAGGAGGATCACCATGAACTTGAGGCCAGGCTGGAATACACAGCGAGACCCTGTCTCAAAAAAAAATGAGAAGGGGGCTGGGGATTTAGCTCAGTGGCAAAGCGCCTGCCTGGCAAGTGCAAGGTTGTGAGTTCAATTCCTGGTACCGGAAGAAAAAAAAAAATGAGAAGAAGGAAGCATAGAATACAGCTTGGGCCTGGAGAAACTAAGCGGGTGCTACCATGTGTTTAGAGACAGCTGCCTTTGTTAGGATCCCCTTCAGCTATGGAGAGGAGGTCCTGCAGGTATCCTCTAAGAGACAGAGAAGACAGAACTAACCTCTTCAGCAAAGGAAGTTAGGAATGTGGGGTGGGAGTGAGCAGGAGAGGGAGGAAGGGAGTCAGAAAAGGAGCAGGGTCCAACAGCATGATGGGAAGCTGGATGCAGGAGTGTAGACCCTGTCGCAGGCCTCCGGATGGAGCGTTTGCGCTGTCCTGTGAGTTTCACCCTCTCTGTCCGCCAGAGTCCCTAGTGCGTGTTACACATGCAGATTGGGTGTGTATGGGGGTTGCTGCAATTCCGTGGTGCCTGCGCAGCTGTCTTTGGAATGGGGAGGTTGTTTCTGACCAGCTTCTGACAGGAGCAAGCTTGCCCTGTAATGGTTGTGCCCTCGAGGCCCCTGGTCCATGGTACCTGCTTCCCCGATCCCTTCAGGTGAGCGGTTCTTCAGGGACTGTGAAAGTGGTGGTTGTGGACTCAGTCGCTGCAGTGGTCTCCCCGCTTCTGGGAGGTCAGCAGAGGGAAGGTGAGTGGTGTGGCAGAGCCTGTGGGCAGGGGACAGACTCCTCACCAGCTCTGGAGTCTGGACTCCCGCCAGCCCTGTTCCTGGTCCCCGCTGCCCTCCCTGTCTGCCGCTCCTCCCCCAGGCTTGGCTTTGATGATGCAGCTGGCCCGAGAGCTGAAGACCCTGGCCCGGGACCTCGGCGTCGCAGTGGTGGTGAGGACACAGCCTTGGTCTGCGAACTCGATTTCTACCTACAGCTTGCTCTTTGTTTCCCTTAAGGGGCAGCTCTGGACCCCACAGTAGCCAGCCCTATAGGAAAGGACATAGCCCTGCTTCTCTGGATCAGCTAGAGCTCTGACTGCGAGGGAGAGGATTGGGTGCTAAGTAACCCAGGGAATCAGGGGCCCTTTTGTTTGTCTTTCCTTCCTTTTTCCTTCTGTCTCTCCCTCCCTACCATCTCTCTTACTGGGATGTTTTTTTTTTTTTTTTTTTTTTTTTTTTTGGTGCTGGGGATCAAACTCAGGACCTTGCATTTGCCAGGCAGGTGCTTGTGCCACTGAGCTGCACCCCTGTTCCTCTCCTACTGGGATTGAACCAGGGCCTTCACACTAAATTACATCCCAGCCCCTTCGTTTTTTATTTTTTATGTTGAGACAAGGTCTTGTTAAATTAGCCATGCTGGACTTGACCTTGGAATGTTTCTGCCTCAGCCTTTCAGATTGCTGGGATTACAGGCCTACATCACCACACCTAGCAGCAGCAGTAGCTAGTAGCTACTGTTGCCACTGGGCCTCTTTCTCTGTTTCCTTTTTTACATAAAGTAATTTTCTTTGAAGAAAATTTGAAGGTGAACTGTTGCATATAGTGGCATCCAGTCGTATTCTCCTACCAAAAGGTCCCAGGCAACCACTGATCCATTTTCAATAGTTTCGCCTTTTCCAGAGCTTTGTATCAATGGATTATCTTGTGTGAAAAGTAACCTTCGTGCTTATGCAGCAGTTTTTATTTTGTTAATTTTTGCTTTTGTGGTACTGGGGCTTGAACCCAGGGCCTCACACAAGCTAGGCAAGCGCTTTACCACTGAACCACGCCCCCAGCCCATGAAGCAGCTATTTAAAAGTCTGTATGCATCTCAAGGAAACTTTAAAAAAAAAAGTTAAATATGAGATTCCAACTTGGTCAGTCTCCACCTTCACAAAAGCATATTAATATTTTTCCCCATAAAATCTTTTTTTCTGTGCATATGCACTGATACTTTGAACCAGCTTTCTAACTAAACTAACTTTGTAAAAAAGCACAAAAACTAATGTGACATCTCAGTCCATCTCCCATGTTCTGACAAAGATTCTTTAAGAGTGTCATTTTTAGCAGCCACATTTTGTTTGTTTGTTGTGAGACTGTCTTGCTGTGTTCTCTAGGCCGGTCTCAAACTTTTGATCCTTTAGTAGCTACATATTTTTTCCACTTTTTTTCATTATGGTTAAGTATACATAGAATTTATTATATTAAGCATTTTAGAGTGGACAGTTTAGTGCTATTAAATATATACAATGGCTGGGTGTGGTGCTCCATACCTGTCATCCCGCCCAGTACTTGGGAGGCAATCAGAGGGGAGGATTGTAAATTCAAGCATACCCTGGGCAATTTAGCAAGACCCTGTTTCAAAATAAAAAAGGACTGGGGGCGTAGCTCAGTGTGAAAGCTCTGGGTTCAGTCCCTGGTACTACAATAATGAACAGGTACATATACACATATTATATATATATATACACACATACATACACAAACATATATACACATACATACATAAGTGGTATTAAATACTATCTGACTTTTTTTTGAGACAGTGTCTCGCTATGTAGTTCTGGCTGGCCTTGAATGCACTATGTAGCATAGGCTGACTTGAAACTCACTGAGATCCTCCTGCCTTGACTTCCCGAGTACTGGGATTGTAGCCATGTGCCACCACACCTGGCTGTCTGTAAGGCCTGTAAAACTGAAACTCTATGCTCATTAAAAATAACTTGTCCCGGGGCGGGGGATTTAGCTCAGTGGCACAAGCGCCTGCATGGCAAGCGCAAGGTCCTGAGTTCGATTCCCAGTACCCAAAAAACAAAAACAAAAAAGCTTGTCCCACTGGGTATGGTGGCTGCCCTACCATTTTCCACAGGGTCTATAATAGCCACATGTTACATTGTTTAGTGCCTGTATCCCAGGGATCAGCAAACTTTTTCCATAGAAGGCCAGATAATAAATATTGGCGACTTTATAGCTACATGGTCTGTATCACAACCACCCAGCTCCTCCAGTGTGGCACAAATCCAGCCATGGATGAACATAAACAAACGGCCGTGCTGTGTTCCAATAAAACTTGATTTACTGTCCAGGCGTGGTGGTGCATACCTGTAATTTCACATACTTGGGAAGCTGAGGCAGGAGGAATGCAAATTTAAGGCCAGCATGGGTTACATAGCAAGACCTTTTCTTACAGTGAAATGAAAAAAGGCTGGAGGTATAACTGAGCACTCTGTGGGTTTAATCCCCAGCACAAACAAAAACTCAAATAAAACAAAACTTTTTGGAGGTGGAGACAGGAGGATTGCTATGAGTTTGAGGCCAACCTCGGCTACATAGTGAGTTCAGGGCCAGCCTGAACTGCATAATGAGATCCTGTCTCAAAAACAAAAGAAAACTTGATTTACCAAAACAATTTTTGAGCTAGATTTAGTCTAGGAGCCACAATTTGCCCATCCCCACTGTACCATAATGACCTATCTAACCAGTTCCTGATCACTGGATCTTTACATCATTACAGGTTTTTCTCTTTATAAATAAAACTACCTAAATCTCCACATATCTCATACTATTTCTTCCTTAGTATGTAATGACTGAGTCAGGGGTACATGTATTTTTATTTTTGTTTTTTGAGATGGACATCTCCCTGTGTGACCTACACTGGCTTTGAACTCCAAAGTTGAACTCATCCTCCTGCCTCGGCCTCCCAAGTAGCTGGGATCACAGATGCATGCTATCATATCCAGCTACGTGTACTTTTAAATGTCTAGATATTACATGGCTGCAATTTGGAGAAGTTAATACCCGTTGTACACCCACTGGCGGTGTAAAAGAATCTGTTTCCCTGTTCTTTTGTTTGAATACAAGGTCCCAGAGCCGTCCTCTCCTGGCTTTGGGATGTGTGTGAGCACCTGTGAGTGCTGGGTGCTGCCGCAGGCGGCGGGGATTCATTCAAGCCACAGTCCCTGCCCTCCAGGGGCTCCTGACAGTTGCATACCTCCATGCCAGCCTGGGCAGGGGAGCGCCAATCCCTGGGGAGAACTCCTCTTCGGAGACTCCTCTCACTCCCGCACACAGATGCACTCCCAGACTCGGGCCTGGGTAGACGTGGTCTCTGGATGCCTATTATATCCTCTGTTGGGCCGGGGATATAATAGGTGCAAGCCCCCCACCGATTCCCTTTAAGAAACCACAAATAGGACAGCTGCTTCCCCCACCAGCACCCCATTGTCTTCTAGTTGGGGTCTGAGGCATTGAGGTTGCGTAGAAAGAGCCCGGTGCAGGTCTGGACCCCCAGGATCTAGTTCCAGGCCTGCTACTAAGTTGTAGAGCCTTGGGGGGTCATTTCTCCACATCACACTTCCATTTCCCCATCTGTAGGATGAAACCATAGGAACAGAGGTCCTGTATACTAGCATTATGCATCTGTGAGCTTTTCTGCAGGTGACCAACCACATGACCCGAGACAGGGACAGTGGAAGGCTCAAACCTGCGCTTGGACGCTCCTGGAGCTTTGTGCCCAGTACCCGAGTTCTCCTGGACAGCATTGAGGGAGCAGGTGCGTCAGGCGGGAGCCAGCGCATGGCATGTCTGACCAAGTCACCCCGTCAGGTGAGCAGCCCCAAGGAGGCATCAGGAGTCTAGGGCACTGTAGGCCGGGTTTCATGCCCCAGGTGTCTTACTGGAGAATTCTTTGGCCAGGTGTATTGGTACAGTCCTGTGAGCCCAAAATTTGGGAGGCTGAGGCAGGAGGATCACTGCAAGTTTGAGGCCCGCCTGGACTACATAGTTCAAGGCCAGCCTGAACTGCATAGTGAGACCGTGTCTCAAAAAGACCGATACAGAACAAACAAGGGATTCTTTGATGCTGAAAGCCTGTGACACAAGAGTACCTACTCGGGTTGCTTCCATCAACTTACTCTTCCCTTCTGTCTCTTCTTCCAGCCCACAGGGCTCCAGGAGGTGGTGGACATCGGGGCCTGGGGGACTTCAGAGCTGGGCCCCGTGTTACAAGGAGAGCAGACGTGACTGGTGCCGGCGATGGGGAAGGAGGGAAGCATGGAATGACAGGCAGTTGTTCACTGCTACCCAGCACCTAGGCCTGCAGGAATTCACAGGCTGCCCAGAGGTCCCGTTGGCGTGGAAGCACGTTGAGCAATAGAACAGAGGATGCTGCGGTGGGAGGGCCCAGAATTCCAAGCTGGTGCCAGGTCCCTTCTTTCATGCCCACCACCTGTGTTTCCAGAGGGAGCCTAACTCACCCCGGCAGGGGCGTCTCTCAGGAGGCCACACTATGACTGATGAATAGTCGCAGGTGCCTCCATCAGAGCCTGTGTTCAATCCTTGCAGTGTTTAATCCACGAAGCCACTAATTTGCCTTTGCTCCCCTCCTTTCTTTTTATTCTCTCTCTTTTTTTTAATCTCTGAGTTACTAAAACCTCATAAATACAAAGCACTTCTTCATCTATGTTCTGCTCTTAACAAAGTATAAAAAGGAAATTCCTGGAGCTCCAGAGCACCTGATTGGTCCCCAGAAGGTTGTTTTTCAGTTTCCCCATTGAGCCCCCCAAAGAATGGTAGTTCTTTCTTCTGTTTGATTCGGTTTCACACACCTGCATGCGTCATCATGACTGGGTGAGAATGTGGGCTTGCTGCTGTCCCAGGGGTATAATTTAACAGGAAGGACGGATATGACCTGCAACTAGTGAATCCAGTCACTTGTTTAATATGCCTGATGCCCTGTAGGGCCCTTCCACAGTATAGAGTAACCAGAGGTGCGGAACCATGGCCTTGCCCATAAACAGACAGAGGCAAATTTGCACAATAAATAGAACCAGCTGGGAAAATTGATGCTGGCGTAAATAATACATGGCAAATGTAGTCTTTTATGCAGAAATTCATTGCTAGTAGCTCTGAGATGCAATATGATTACATCTGTGTTCCTGCCAGCTGTACCACTGCCTTGTGCCTTAGTGTATAAAATAACCCCCCTGTCTGTTACCAGTACTGTGGCCATCCGTCTGAGAGTCGTAACCCTGGCTGGGAGGGGAAGATGACAATAGGGAATAGAAAATAAAAGACAAAGAAAAATGATCAGGGTTATTTACTGACCACTTTGTGTTTTGTTTGTTTGGAGTTCTGGTTTGATTTTGCTCTTATTTTGCCAATACTCGGGATGGAACCTGGGTCTTGACATATGCTGGGCAAGTGGTCTACATCTGAGCTGTATCCCCAGTTCAGGGCCACATTTTTTAAAGGGAGCTTGTCCGTGGTTGAAGAGGCTGTTGTACTGTTAGCTGTGTCTTACCTGAGGAAAAAGGGATCAGAGATATACTTAGACAATGTGGCATTTGTAGGTGGTGGATGCAGCAGAGGTGGGAGGGAGGTGCGGGAGTGGGGAATGAATGGCAGACCAGCTCGAGGTGTCTGAGTGTGCGTGGGGCTGGGGACTAAACCCTGGTTCTTGTTTTCACAGAAGACCCTAGGAGAAGTCAGTCTTCAGTATCTACACCTTGTGTAGTTGGCATATCCCTGCAGCCAGAGTAAGAAGCATTCTGTTGAGCTAGGAACGGCAAATCCCTGCCACGCATAGTACCATGTGGGCATCATCTGCCCAAAGCAGACATCACCAATCAATCTTAGGAATTTTTTTTTTCTTTTTTGCAAAGTTCAAAGTACTTAGCAGTTTTTTCTTCATGCAATACGTCAGGTAGTCACTACCAATGTGTTGGAGTTGGCAGTCAAGTTGAACCTGGTTGTCCCACTGCCCTGGGCTGATCTGTCCTGTTTCCTGTATGCAGTGAGTCCAGGTACTTCCTACGTGAGCAAGCATCCTCCAACAGCGCAGTTGGAAAAAGGTCACCTGGCTATCTTGTCATTTAAGAAAGAACCTGAGGCTCAGAGAGGAAAAGTGACAGTCCCATTGGCAGCATGGGGGCTGGGACCCAGGATTCTGTACCCACTTTGCCTTTAGTTTCCCATTCACCAGCTCTATTCCTGCTGGGACACAGACTGCAGCTAAAGGCACACAGTTCTCACCTAGTGACTGCTCTGGGAAGGTGCCCCATCCCTGCTACTCCCAGCATTCACGCAGTTCTCTCTGACAGCTTGCTTTCCTTGGGACCCTGTTCCTAGACCAGGGCTTTGCCTGTCTGCAGGCTGCTGCTGTACTCCCTTCTGGCCTTCCTGCCCAGTGCAGTCCCCTGGGTGCGCTCTCTTCAAGAGCCTTTTGCTCCCTTGCTGATGTGTATCCAGTGTGTCTGGTGCACACCCACTCTGACATCCCGCCTTTTTATGCCTCGACTCTGGTATAAATGGATGTTTGTAACTCCCTGGTACTACTATTGCCTGTGAGCCCACGTCCCACGTCAAGGGCTCCTGTGTCCATTTCTTCCTTCTTTCCACATTGCAAGAACTTATTAGTGAGTGGGCTTCAATGCATTTTAAAGATGGCAGCAGAGAGGAATGCAGGAAGGTTTTCCTCTTTAGATTATGTTAAGTTCCCAAAACCTCTACTTTTCTTCCATACTGAGGATTAAACTCAGGATCTTCACACTGAGCTGCCTCCCTAGTCCTTTTTTTAAATTTTGAGACAGAGTCTTGCTGAGTCACTAAGTTGCCCAGGGTGAGCTTGAACTTGAGATCCTCTTGTCCCAGCCTCCCAGAGTGCTGGGATTACAGGTATGCACCACCATGCCTTGCTTTTCATTTTTCTACAGATTATTGTATTTACTTTTTTGGAAATTAGACAAAATGTTAAGTCCCTCCTATGTGCTAACATTTGATGGCCTATAGTCAGGAAGTCGAACTCCCAAATATTGTTAGGCAAAAGATCCATGTGTTAGCTGGGCATGGTGGTGCATGCTTGTAATCTTGGCACTTGGGAGGCTGAGGCAGGAGGATGGCCATGAGTTCAAGGCCAGCCTGGGCTACATAGTGAGTTCAAGGCCAGCCTGAACTACAGACTATAGAGAGAGACCCTGCCTAAAAAAAAGAAAAGGAAAAAAAAAAAAGACCCATGAATTATTGAGGCTGCTTTGTACTCTAAGTAACAAAGTCTAGCTTAAAGATGCATCAAAAATAAGGACAGGGATGGGGATATAGCTCAGTGGCACAAGTGCCTGCTTGGCAAGCACGAGGTCCCAAGTTCGATTCCAGGGACCAAAGAAAAAAAAAATAATAAGGACACCCTCGTCTGTGAAGACTAAGGTTAGTTAATTAATTGGTTTACTGTCAAGTACTACTGGGCTTTTCTGTTTCTGCTCTGTTCTCTTTTTGTATTACTTTTGTCCTCAAACTCATTGCCTTCATTGAAGCTTGGCCACAGCCACTCTGAGCATCAATCCAGATGTGCAAGATCTACAAGCAGGAAATGGATCACCTACTTGTGTCCTTTGAAGAACAAGGAAAATGCAGAACTTTCCTTTAAAAGCTCGCTTGCTTTATATCTCACAGGTACAGAATTGCTTCTGGCACCTGAGTCGAATTCAGTAACCCAGAAAGGAAATGGGACCATTGTTACTGGCTCAGACCAGCCAAGAAACAACCCTGAAGCTGAGGCTGGGAGCAGGGTTTCCTAAAGCATATGCTGTGGCCTTATTAGAAAGGAGAGAGTGTGTGAAGGAATCAGATGTTGGGTGGTCCCGCCATGGCCTAGATGACACCTTCATCTGGCTCTCTGGATATAAGGGATTTAGGTGCAGATCCTACTAGGTTTTTGCTGTGTTCTGGCGTGGAGCTGTCTGGGTAGTTTCAGCTGTTCAGTTGTACATGCTGGAGATGGGCACTGCAGGAGGCTCTGCAGTGCACAGAGCTGGATGTATGTGTGTATAACTTTTGACCTTTTTTAAAAGGCTGGATATATTACTAATCAAAGGCTATCCTGGGAGCTGAGGGTATAGCCTAGCGGTAGGGTGTTTGCCTAGCATGCATGAGGTCCTGGGCTCAATCTTCAGCACCACAGAAAAAGAAAAGAGAAAATAAAGTTACCCTGAGTGTTTTTTCTCATTTTCTCTTGTCCAATTGCACTGGTTAGACTAAGTTCATGACTATGTCAAGTGGAAGCAACAATAACCACCATCTCGGTCTTGTTCATGATATCAGTGGGCTTGCTTGCAGTATTTCTTCACTGAGTTGTGTACCTTAGGTTCTGGGTAGTTACCTTTCGTCAAGGTAAAGACCTCATGACAGTAGTCTTGGAGGGGATCTGGGAATTGGCCGCTATATTTGCCCAACAGGGTTCTCTCTCCCAGCCCACTAGGAACACTATATATTTTAGATCCTGAGAAGTTAGCGACCTGGTGAAATGGGGTGATAATTGGGATTTTGGAATCAGGAAGAGATCTAGGTTGGCTGACTTCTTTGGATAAGATAATGTCTCTTTCTCACTGGTAAAATCTATGTTGCAGAGGAATTACATTTCTTTTTTGGTAAAATACATGTCTCGGGAATTACATAGATGGTTTATTTAAAGTGCTTTTCACAGATACACTGTGTATCTGACACATAGTAGGTGCTCAATCACCATTAATTTTGGATTTTGCCAGAAGTAGCCAAAATCAGGGCACTAGAGCCCTGCTGCTACTAATAAAGGAAATAATTTATTTTTTGCTACTGTTTGGGGAAAGGCATGTGTTTCATAAATATGTATTGGAAAGTACTTAGCAAATGAGTAGAAATAATAAAAATATGTCAATGTAAACAGCTCCTATAAATGTCACTTTGTAGACAAATTAGTATTTTATTACTATTAAATACTATTGCTTGCCAAAAAGGATTTCAGATTAGTTGCACAATGGGTACATTATTGAGTATCTCTGTAGAAGGGCATGATAAAGATGAAAAATAGTGATGACAATCGTACCTAAGGTAGAGGAAGGGGGTACATGGGCACATAAAGTTCGGGGGGCCTCCAGGCTTCAGGAATGTGCATGTGATGTAGCAGCATTCCACTGATTTAGCCATAATGTGGACCAGAGGACCCTCAAAAAAGATTTCTCCATGACATCATGAATTCAGACTCCAAGTTACTGGGTCCAGTTAGTGAATTAAGTGCATTCCCTTTCAGAACGATGTACTCAGTTAGTAAACTAAGTTTATAAAAAGACATCTCTGGGTCTCACCTCACCCTTGTTCTGGACCTATTAAATTTCTGTGGCCATAATTTATATCTAAAGATGGAGAGAATGCTGTGCCTCAAGCATGACTCACACAAGTCCATTTTAGAAATAAAAGAGGATGGACAGTTGTTGACATCGCAATGGGCAGTTTCTGGGTTCAAACCCCCTCCACCACAGTGTATGTGTATGTGCATGTGTGTGTGTGCTGGCATGTGCCTGTAATCTCGGCTACTCAGGAACTGAAGGGGGAGTATTATAGACAGCTAAGTTAGGTAGAAAAATTACAGGCAGTCAGACAGGGCTGGGCCCTCGAGGGAGTCAGTGCAGAGGATGAGAATACAACACAACTGTGGCTATGGGTGCATCCATTGAAGGCCAGGATCAAGATGACCAGGCCTCCATGCCTCCCCAGGGATAAGCAATATTATAATTGGTATCACCTGGTCCAGTAAAGTCTAGATAGCCATCAGCCACCCAAGTGGCTGACCAGGACCTCCTGACTCACCTCTTCCAAAAAAGGTCCTTGTTCTTTCCGGGTACACTTGCTGCATGACTTGGTTCCCCATTGGATCAACATTACCTAAGCAGCTATACTTTCAATCTTATTGGTTGATCATAATTTTGTCCCACGTTGTACCCACCTCGTGATTTTGTTCTATAAAACTTCCTCTGAATGGGGCTGGGGATTTAGCTCGGCGGCAAAGCGCCTGCCTGGCAAGCGCAAGGTTGTGAGTTTGGTTCCTGGTACCGGAGAAAAACCAAAAAAAAAAAAAAAAAAAAAACTTCCTCTGGAGATGGGGTCTGCGGCAACCCACTTGGATCCCCTCCTATCTCTCTCAGGAGCTCTCTTTCCCTCGATAAAATTGCCAACTCTTAACCTCCACTGTCCCTCAAAATTCTTTCTTTGATTTGGGGGAACACAAAATTCTTTCTTTGATTTGGGGACATCTAGCAAGTTGAGTGTTATAGTTTCTCTTACACCATTTGGAGGTCCTGTATCAGGAGGATTGAAAGTTTGAGGCCAGACCAGGCAACTTTGTGAGACCCTGTCTCACAAAAGAACAAAAACAAAACCAAAAAGAAAAAGAAAGAAAAGAAGGAAAGAAAGAAAAAAAGAAAAAGAGGGCTGGCATGCAGCTCAGTAGCTGAGTACTTGTCTAGCATGTGCAAAGCCTTGGGTTCAATCCCTAGTACTGCAAAAATAAAAAATAAATAAAAAGTTAATTTTAAAATGTGGCTGGGAATATAGCCCAGTGATGGAGAGCTAGCTTAACACCCATTAGATCCTGGGTTGGATCCCCAGTACTGAAGGAAAAAAAGGAACCAGAGAAGGAAAAGAGAAGGTAATAAATGTCTTTGTGGGGGAAATAAAGCCCTGGTGAGAAGCAAAGAAGAGAAGGAAATACATCAAGGAAAGTCACAGAAAATAGGGGAAAAAATGAACACATTTAATTCAGGAATAGGACAGTCCACAAATTCCAAGTGGCGCAAAGAAGTGACCTAACATTCCAGCTCTGCCTTTTTCTATCTGTGTAGATTCGGGCAAATTACTTAATATGTACATCTTCATTGATAACATGGGGACCACACTACTGTTCGCTGAGTTGTATTTGAGGACTGGAAATAGCAAAGATATTTGTAGTAAAATGAGAAAGCTGAACTTGTGATCCGCCTGCCTCAGCTTCCTGAGTAGCTGGGATGATCAGCCAGTTGTATACATATTTTTATTGCAATTTCCCTTACGATATTCTTTATTTTAAAATACAAGGGGCTGAGGATATAGCTTAGTGGTAGAGCACTTGCCTAGCATGTGTGAGGCCCTGGGTTTGATCCTTAGCACTACAAAAATAAATAAAAGCAATACAAATTGCCCAGAAAAAATGGTAAGCAGTCTCAATAGGAACCTAAAGCCTAAGAAAATTGTGTCAGTAGACACCAGTCAGAAGAAAAGATTAGAAAGGTTATTTTCTTGACTAGGCATCTCCTGAGCCTACACTGGCTAACGGTAATCTAGGCTACCCTAGCATTTTATGGCTTACTAAGCACTTGATACATTAGCTCATTTAATTGGCGATCAACCTGCATTTCCGGGATAAGGATAAGAGTTCGGAAAGGTTAAGTACCACACAGCTGATGAATGGCGGAGGTGGAGTAGCTGTCATTCTACCACAGCCTTTCTCAGCTGTCACCTCATCCTTCTAAGGAGAAAGCAGCTAATCCTGGGTGGACTGGGAAATGCTAGAAGCAGGAGGTGCCCGAGCGCCAGTGGGCAAAGCACGGGTTTTGATGTATCTCAGGCCTGGCTGATGTATGACCTTCCAGCTTTGGGACCTGGAATCAGCTCGGGAACCCATGGACCTGGGTTTCTTCAACTGTGAATGGGGGGGCTGGGGATTTAGCTCAGCGGCAAAAGCTCCTGCCTGGCAAGCGCAAGGTCGTGAGTTTAGTTCCCGGTACCGGAGAAAAACAAAACAAAACAAAA